GGGGGGCGTCGGCTGGGGGGAAGACCCGCCGCCCTCCGTCTCCTTTCGTCGCAAGTGTATCGCACATCTACCTTTGTCCTAGTCTTGTACGTCACGCGCGCTGATTACCAACAAGAATGTATCGCGCGCTGGTATTTTCACAGGATGGATTTATTGCACTCAAACCAACCGCTTGCAGAAAGTGTACAGTACGTTGTTTTTTTTGGTCCCCAAAAGCATGAAGTGCATGCTTTTTTGGGAACCAGCTAGATCACGGGATGCACGCCAACCCCTTTTTCCCTCACTTTTTTTGGGAAAAGGCTGAACATCACAGCGGCAAGGTCCAGACAGTTACGGCCCTCCTGACAAGATAGAAAAATACACCATGAAATCATTGCAGGGGAGGGGGGGGGGGGGGGGGCTCAGTTGGTGCTTGGCTAGGCATACGTCATTCGGCCATCGACATAGTGTGTGTCAGCATTTCTTTCCTGTGTCGCCGTTCCTGTTCCAATATAGGCACCTCCGACATCGTGAACTCCAGTACTATAAAGCTGGCTCTTCGAGATCGTGGACCTTGTTTTGTTTGGATGTCGTCGGCAAACATGTGCTTTGACAACCACACAGAAACCCACCACTGCACAGGCACACGTAACACCGTAACGATGCGACGCAATGCTTGCACAGGTCGAAACACCCGAAACATGCGCGTAACACGTACACACAAGGCACACACGCGTAACAAGCGCACAACATTTACACAGGCACACCAAAACACACACACACAAACAGCACTTGCAACTCGCAAGACGCGCAAAAATGCGCCCAGACCACTTGCTGTCCGCGAGCACACGAGACACGAGACGCAAGACGCACCTTGTCCGCTAGATCGAGGGCAGCGCCGGCCTTCACCAGGAACCCGACGGATCCCACGCCGCCGGCGCTGATGGCCAGGCTTAGCGGCGTGTCGCCGTTTTCCGTCTCCGCGTCGATCGGGACGCCCTTGTCCAGGAGCCGTCTCATTATCTGGCCGCCGTGGATCAACAGAGGAGAGAGAGAGGGGGGGAGAGGGAGCGAGAGAGAGAAAGAGAGGGCAGCAGAAAGAGAATAGAGAAGCAGAGAGAGAGAGAGAGAGACGCTGAGAGACAAAGAAAGACAATACATGTGTGGGGGGGGAGGAGGGAGGGTATCACGCACACCTTCTCCTCGCCCGAAATTTACCGGCTCGATAGCGCCCCAAACAAAGGTCCATGCCGGCACCCAACAACGACGCCCCACCCCCCCCCTTAAAAAAATCTCGTCGACAATCTGCAGTCCCCGTTTTTCCCCAAGAGAGCCAATACAACAAGTAGCAGCCCATGCACGGGCCAACACCGTGATGGGGATGGATGATGCAAATTCGTTGTTTTCCGGGGGGACAGCCCGCGGACGCAGGAAAAGGGAGGGGGGGGGAGCCTTGGGAGGGGGATGCCACGGGTTTCGCCCCTGCTTCCAGCAGTGGGGAGAACCCCAGGAGGTGGCCGCCGGGCCAGGCGAACTTCAAGGAGGTGGTGCCGTTTTTGTTGGCCGCTTTTACCTAAGGGTTAGGGAGGGGTGCGCGGGGGGGGGGGGGGTACTCTCATGTTTTTGCATGGGGGTGTGTCTCATGTAAACGCATGCCGTAGGCGGTACACTGTAGACCCTAGATCCCTGCAATGCCGGGATGGAGCAATAAGCCGGGTTTTCGCCGGCCCAGGCTACGGTTCACAAGGATGAGCCAGAAGCTGGCCAT